AACTATTTTGATTCACTCACCTCTCACGGAGATAAAACATCTCGTCGTGAATGGATAAAACAATTTCGTGCATTTTCTTGAGCTCTAATTCCATTGACTGCTCACAAGAAAGATAATGGTTCACAATTAGAATATGATAAAATCATTGATAAGAATAAGGTATAGTAAACAAGAACCTTCTCATAGAAATGGTTCACAATTGCAAAGCAAAGACTCACACTTCATCTGCATGAAGGTGAAATGAAATCAAATACTTTTGCAAGTTGCAACCACATCAACCCATATTATCTAATTTAGGAGATTGATACAACTCCCTTTAAAAAAATTCGGCAAAATAGCTCAGTAACTTCGGATGGTGCCGTCTCAAAAAACACAAGTCTCATTCTTCCTCTTGCTTCAAACATATTCTACCATATCATGAATAGAGACATCTTTTGGCGCACGCAAGACATGCCATAATTACGTAAATGTGCTTCACTCAATTTATTTATATATATGGTTGGAGAACCCTTAACCCCCATCGACCTTTCTCGGTGAAACCTAAAAAGTCACGATGTATGGACGTCTTTTAAAAGATAAATATAAATAAAGTAAAATCTATCTTCTGCTGGTGTCACCTACACTTATTGGATTATGTCCTCATTTTTTAATTTCTTAAAATTATAATTTTTTTGGCAGATTCACTTATGTATTTTTGGTTCCTAATGGAACATAAGTACCTAAAATAGCAATGCCCTCTTTTGAGTAACATGATACTCTATAGTACAAAAGAACAAGAAAAACCAGAAAAATGCAATAATTTAAAAGTAATCGAGTGCTTACTTCGATAGATCCTTTCTTCGCGACATTTGTCCAATCCTTGGCATCGAAGGCAGACTTCCAATCAAAGTCAATGGTGACAGTAGCCGAAGGCTTGTGATCTGCTGCAAAAAAGCAAGACAAGTAGTGACCTTCCTCCATTGCTTGAAATGCAAATTGCCCCTCAGTCACATTGTCCGCATGGTGATAAACATTACCGTACACCGATGTTACCTGCACACACTCGAATGACCATTTGAAAATGTATATAATCCTATTCCTATCGGGTCCAGATAATTTTCAACTCTAAAACAAACCCACTGAGCAAATCGACGCATAACTGAAAAAAATGCTTTTGAATCATATACTATTAATTACCCCGATAGTGATATTGTGAGAATCCGTTAAAGGGTATCCCTCAGTAGGGTTAACAATGTGGTACTTCCCAAGTGTCATGGAGTTGATCTTTATTTCTTCAGCAATGCATTTGGTTTGACCCGACTCGACATCGAATCGGAATGATTCAACATGGCTCCATAGCACGAATCCTGAGATTAAAACATTAAAAAGACACCACCTTCCGGTTTGCATGCTCATACTAATAATAACAATTGCAACAAAAATGATTTCCCCACC